AAAGAGTGTCAGAAGGAGTTGGCACAGCCCTAAGTGCCTCTCCTGAGTCTTGCCAGTACCTGGATGGTATCAGGGTCACTTGGGCACTGCAGATGCTCCCAAGGCCCAGGTACAATGCCCTGCTGTTCACACCCTGGAGCAGGAGCATTGTACGTCCGCAGGGTTATTGTTCCAGAGAACTGCACTGTTCCCCTGATATCCCTGATAACAGCCTCAGAACGTACAGGCAGTGCCGGGATGGGAATGCAGTCCATTTCTAGGGAGTTGTAAAAAGGAGGATGGTTTCCACAGTGGGTTAGGTTATATGGTTCTCTCCCCAGGTCAAGATAAGCACTGTACATGTGAACGGTACTGGTACAAGGGGCCTGAGAACTGACGTGTTTCTGGCCTGGGATAACCCTTCAGAGGTGCTTGTCTGAGTTCCTGGTAGAGGCATGACTCTGTCCTGAAATTCCATCCAGCCCGGGTCCATGCTCTCACCTGGGTGAGGCAGCAGGTGTGGGAAGCACAAATTCCCTTGTTCCTGGCCCTAGGCCTGTTTGCCCTTTCCCTGTGTGCTCACTGAGGAGCTGACACTGGTTTGTGCCCTGCTGATGTTTCACTTGCATCAAGCACATCTGAAAGGTGAGAGGTTCGCCCTTACTGGCTCTGCAGCCTGAGCCATGGGAAGGATGGACTGAATACATCTGACACACCAGTTCAGGACAAATGTGAGCACACAAACCCTCTAATTATCCTCAGTTTCCCCATTGTGCTGGGGGTGAGCAGTGCCCCCTGTGACCTTGGTTCTGCCTGATCCATGCAGACCACAGGAGTGAAGCTAAGCCCACTGCCAGGGTGTGCTTTGGGCAGTGGCCATGGGCCGAGACCTCCAGATTCCAGTGTATCCCCACGCAGGTCATGGTGACTCATAGATGACAGTCTTGGGGGTATCTTGTGTGCTGTCCCACCAAGCCACCCACTCCCACTCCCCAGCTACCTCCCTCGGCTTCACACATGGCATTTCCTGGGCAGCTCGAGCAGACATAGGTACTGAATGGTGTCACAGATGGGTAGGACCACGGAGGCAAGTGGTGGGATGTTTTGCCTCACGTCCCTGACAGATGGCAAACGTATTATCCTTTAACACTGCCACAAGTGCAGAGCCCAGCCCTGCTGTTCTGACACTGACTCAGCCCTGAAGACACATTTCAAGGTGACTCTGTTCTCGGGAGCGAAGAGGTATCGCGTAAATTTGCTTGTACTCAGGGATGTGTTCTCCTTCCTGTTGTTTGGGTCTGGAGAAAGTTTTCCTAAGCAGGGCTCACTGATATTTTCAGCCTTGTACAGTCACACAGCATCACTGCTGAGGTCCCAGTGTGTGGCTTCACCAGTGGTAGGTTGTGCTGGTGCAATGAACACTGTGCAGGTCTTGGGCACAGTCCATCAGCACAGGCTGTGGTTGGATGTTGTGTTGGATCCCATGTTAGTGCAGGCAGCTGCAGTCTCTTCCCACATCTCACTCCCACTTGTGCATGCCTCCAAAGAGAGCATCACACCAGTATCTCAGCCAAACTGGAAAACCATCCATCAGCAAACAGCCCACCAACCTGGATTAATTATTTCTTTGAATCAACCAGCTGTCAGTTCTCTCTGTGTGGGGAAGGGAACAAGACTTGGGGGTCCAGCAGCAGGGAGGACATCCCTCTCCAAGCCAGCCTGCAGCTATGCTGGATTAAAGGCAGTATCACCCCATCCTTCTCCAGACATGCCATGGGGATGGTTGTGTGTTTTTCCACTGCTGACCTGACCACTAGTGCCTGCATAATGGGGAGACATTATAGTACCAGCTGCAGTTTTATTTGGAAGGGAGTAATGAATATTTTGTTCCAACAGGCTTTTGAAATGAGCAGCGACCATCTGGTTAAAAGTTTTGCTCTCAGCCATGTCACGATTCCCCAAAGTTATAATCGAGCACCTCTCCACCCTGGTCATGCCAAGCAGATTTATTTTTAGGTCCGGCTATTGAACAGGCTCCCAGTTTTCAAAGGCCATTAGAATCCTGCTGTCCTTATTACCAGGCACCCTGGAAGCAGGGACTTGCTTTTGCCTGGAATTGGTAAAACTCGCTCGTGCTAACAAAGATGAGGCAGATACTAATGAGGGTTTGAGGGCAGACGCTGCCTCAGACAACACTGAGCCTTGAAAAGCTCAGAGCTGGCTGCAGAACCAATTCTGCTGTTCTTAAAAGAAAAAAAAAAACAACCCAAAAAACCCCCATCACTTCTCTTTTATTACATATACATCCCCAGAGAGTCCTTCTAAAGCTCCAAACTACCATTTTCTCTGTCTTTGGACACTCTCTGACACTTCAGGGAACAGTTCCCATTTTCTGCTGTCAAGCTGTTTGACTGCATTGATTTTTTGCTATTACAGCAGCAACAGGTCACGGGTGAGACTGAGATCTTTTTTTCCAGGTGCCTACACAGAACACACATGCAATCTTACCTTCCCCAAAGAGAGGTGTGGGAGTTCAGAGGGAGAGTTTAGCCTGCTCCAGGGTAATGTTTGAAAGCTGCAGAGGAGCTCCTAACCCAATCGATGGGTCCTGAGGTGACTGGATTGTGTGCTGGAAATTAGCAGGAAGGCAGTTTGCCCCTAGGCTACACAGTCTGTATATCCATCTGTGTTCATTTTGTTGGGGAAGGTGAATCAGGGGTGTGTGGCTGGATACCAAGAGTAAGTTGACCAGTGAAATCCAGTTTATACCCTGGTTGTATTGCAAATTACTGCGTTTCCAAAAGGACAGTTCAACTATGTCTCAATTCAGCAATGTCTGGATTTTCTCTCCACTGCAGCATGGACAAGGACAGCCAGGATGTTCACCAGGTCCTGAATGAGCTCAAGAACAAGTTCCAGGAGATGAGGAAGCTGATCAGCTCCATGCCTGGCATTGGAGTGAGTCCAGAGCAGCAGCAGCAGCAGCTGCAGAACCTGAGGGAGCAGGTCCGGACCAAAAATGAGCTGCTGCAGAAGTACAAGAGCCTCTGCATGTTTGAAATCCCCAAGGAGTAGGAAGGGCACAGCTGCTGTCTGGGTCTGAGATCCCTCCTCTGCTGGCTGAACGGGGTGGCAGAAGTTTACTTTTGGTTTTGTAATCACTTTTTGGGTTACTTTGCTGTGGAGTTGTGCCTGTGTGGACCACAGGTGTGACACTGAACCCTGTGTGCCTCACCTGGGACGAGTGCAGGGCTATGTTCCCTTTGATCTGCTGCAGGACTGCATTTATATATCCATCTCCTGTTTTCTCTCAGGGTGGGGCTCTTCTTTTTTACGTTCAAACAAGCAGGAGACGTTTCTTTCTCCTCAGTAAGGGTCAAAGTACCTGCTGGTTAACTTCAACCAGAAAAAGGAGGCATTTTTTTGCAATTTTTTGTAACTTAAAAATAGCCAAACATCAAAAGGGAACATGAGGGAAGCATGAGCTGTTTGGCCCTGCTCCTGGAAAGGGTCTCTGGGATACTTTCCAGTCTCTGTGTGTTGAAGGAGGAATGATTGCTCTCAATTCCTTCTGTATTTCTCTTTCTCTTTTTATACAATTGGTGGTTGTGTCTGAGATGAGTCAAGTAAAGATTTATAAACTCCAAACTGCCCCTGTTGTGTGTTCACTGCGTGAATGTGGGCTGAGCAGGGGCAGGATGTTGGCAGCACAGAGGGTGTGTGTAGCCTGGGCCCAGCTCCAGTGTCTTTTCCTGTTAAAACAGAGGAAGGGCAAAAAATCAAAACAAAGGGCATGAATGATAAGAGCTTTTAGTTATTCCATACCAAAGTCAGCCTCAGCAAGACGGGTCAGTTCCATACCTGAAGTGCTCCAGGAGCTTCCTGCAAGCACAAGCATTTGAGCAGCTTGGACAGGTGATTCTGCTGGTTGGGAGCTGGGATGGTTGCAACTCACCAGTAGCTTAGAGGTTTGCTCTGTCCCCACTGGAGTACTGTACTAGTACGTTCTTTGGGAAGGTGCCAGTGTGTAAACTCTGAGTAAAGCAGAACACCAAGATAAATAAAGCACAATGTACACATTTTTATTACTGGAATTGCCTTTCCACCAGCCATTGCCTATCCCAGCCCAATAAATTCCTGTGTCTCATGCCTGGATGATGTTTTCCATTCTTTTGCCAGTGGCTGTTCCTGTGAAATCAGGCATACAGGGAGCTGGAAGGAGCAACATGTTGCCAAAGAAATGTCTGGCACTCAGTCCAGGAACAAGTTAACTCTGTCAACTTGAATCCAAGTTTCAAGTGAAACTGAGGCACTTTTGTTTGCAGTCTCACTCCCCCACCTTAGTTCTGTGCCTTTAATAGGATTTTTTGCCATTACTAATGTCTTAAACACAGATTTGTGCTGCTGCCTGAGGAGGAACGGGGGCTGAAAATGAACTGGAACAGAAGCTGGAGCTGGGCAGAGCTTCATTTGAAGAGCTTTCCTCTTTCACTTCTAGCAATGATTTCTGCAAGTTGTTTGTAGGAGAGATTGAAAACCATCAGCTGCAGAGGTGACCTTTCAAGCAAAGTACTTCCTTTACTCATATTGCAAAATAAAAACACTCTCCCAGCCGGGGCAGCAATGAATCACTCAGTGTTGACATCATTAAAGTGTGCTTAGTTAATCGGGAAAGAGCATGAAACACAATCAGCCCTTTATACCCAAGTGATGTCAGTTTGCTGGGTGAGCGCTGGGAGCCAGATGCCAATGCCCGAGGTGTCATGGGGCTGGCAGGATCGTCACTCCGAGTGGAGTGAGGAAAGAGTCCTGGCTCAGTGACCCGTTGGAGTGAGTAACTCCCTGCGTGGCCTCTCCTTACCCTGTGTGGCAAGAAACCCGGCGGCTTGCAGAGGAGGAACCTTTGCACTGGGAGTCGGGGAAAATGGTACTAAAGGGATTGAGTGAGAGGCTGGTTTTGCTGCCTCAGAGCTGGGACAGGGTGAGGAAGCATCAGCAAACCCACAGGTCTAGTTTTTAAAAAGATTTTTATTCATTTGTAGAAAAAATAAAACATCAAGTTTCACCCACGGTAGAAACACTTGAAGATTTTTTTTTGTTTTGTTCATGTCAAAGACAAACAATAGCTACATAAAGTGCCTATTTTGTTATTTTTAAAAACCCTTCCCGCTCTCCCCACCCTCCCCAAATCTTGCAAATCAAACAAGACAAATGTAAACAAGAGTCAGGTTTTTTGGTCCATTGGGTCTGTATCTTTGCAATGTCTTTGCAACAGCTTAGGAGTGTCTTCTGCATGTGTTTTGCAGACACAAATGAACACATGACACAGAGCCAGAGTCCGTGCACAGCTCCTCAAGGTGACAAAAATCCCCAAGCAGGCACTACCAGGCCCCTGCCCTCCCTCCTGAGGGCAGTGCCCGAGGCTGGGTGGTTTGGGAGGGAAAGAAACACCAAGGTCTGTGCCCTCCACACTCATCCTCCCACCTGGCCAACAGCAGCTCAACCTTTCCCTGTCTCTCTGCCCAGAGGAGGAGGCTGTTCCCAGTGACACCCTCCTCCTGCCCTCCAAAGCCTCCCCCTTCGCACCCCTCGCTCCCAAAATGCACCTCCGGGGGTGGGAGGTGATGAAAGCTGGAGGAGGGAGGCTGGGGGAGAGGCAACCCCCTCTCTGCCCGGGTGGGCACCTGCCCACCCTCCTGCCTGCCCAAAGTCAGTTTGGAAACGAGCACCATTCCCCCCTCTTTTCCTTCTTTCCTTCCTTCCCATAGCACGTGGGGGCTTCTAGCTGATCACGCAGCGATCCTTCTCCTTGCTGTGCCCACCGCCGATGGCTTTCTCCCGGATGTACATGAGGTCGCTGTGGACACTGGGTCGCCGGGCGAAGGGGGCCACGATGCCGTATGCCTCCTCCGTGCTGCCCCGGCCCCCGTCCTTCAGCAGCTTTTTGCCTTTCAGTGCCTTCTTATGCAGGATGTCACAGTACTGCACTGAGACCTTGCGGTGCAGGTCAGGGCTCATCTCGCTGGGCAGCTTGGCCATGGTGAAGAGTGCCTGGAACATCTGGTCCAGGCTGCTGTTCCTCTTGGCTGAGATTTCAAAGTAGGCGCATTTTTTGGGGTCCCCTCCCACCAGCTGCTCGATCTCCCGGGGTTGCACCTCCCGGTAAAAGTCCCGGTCGCCCTTGTTGCCGCAGATGACCAAGGGCACCTCTATGTTCTCCTTGGTTTTGTTCTTCAGGCATGACTTGGTCTCCAGGATTTGCTGCTTCAGGCGCTGCACCTCCTCAAAGGAGTCCCGATTGTCCAGGCTGAACACAAGAATGAACACGTCTCCTGGGGACAAAGAGGGAACATGAGATTCTTGCAGGGGACAGGGACACACAGAGACCCACTGCCTAAGCCCATATAGGGACTCAGGGAGGGAAGGACCAAGCAGCACCTGAGTTCTGCATCCTCCCATCCACCAAGAGCTGCCCGTCCACTGACCACACAAAATCCCACCTCTCTCCTCCCAGGACTGGAAAAACATCCCCAAACAGGGCAAAACCACCTGAAATCGGGCCAAGAAACCCCCTGACAAGTACCTGTGAGGATGGAGAGGCGGCGCATGGCTGGGAAGGGATGGTTGCCTGACGTGTCCAGGATGTCGAGCTGGTAGACCTCACCACGGATGCTGTAGAACTTGCGGTGGAAGTCCTCGATGGTGGGAGTGTATTGCTCCTCGAAGCGGCCGGTGAGGAAGCGCGAGACGATGGCTGTCTTGCCCACCTTGGAGGAGCCCAGGATGACCATGCGGTAGCAGTTCTTGGCGGGGATGCTCAGCTCGGCCTCACTGGGACACATCTTCTTGATCATTGCTGCCAGTTTCATTGAAGCCAGCAACAGTGCGGTTCACGCCGAGGAAGAAGAAGGAAGAGGAGAAAGAGGAAGGCGCTGCCTGCCCAGCTGCTCAGCCCCTCTCCCCTCGCAGCAAAGGTCGGTGTGAGCTCTTCGCGGCCGCCGCCGCGTTATATGGAGGCAGCAGCGA